AGAAGAAGAGGAGGGAAGGAGGAAGAGGAAGGAAGGAGGAAGAGGAGGGAAGGAGGAAGAGGAGGGATGGAGGAAGGAAGGAGGAGGAAGAGGAGGGAAGGAAGGAGGAAGAGGAAGGAAGGAGGAAGAGGAGGGAAGGAGGAAGAGGAAGGAAGGAGGAAGAGGAAGGAAGGAGGAAGAGGAGGGAAGCAGGAAGAGGAAGGAAGGAGGAAGAGGAAGGAAGGAGGAAGAGGAGGAAGGAGGAAGAGGAAGGAAGAGGAAGAGGAAGGAAGGAGGAAGAGGAAGGAAGGAGGAAGAGGAGGAAGGAGGAAGAGGAGGGAAGGAGGAAGAGGAAGGAAGGAAGGAGGAAGAGGAGGGATGAAGGAAGAGGAAGGAAGGAGGAAGAGGAAGGAAGCAGGAAGAGGAGGGAAGCAGGAAGAGGAAGGAAGGAAGGAGGAAGAGGAAGGAAGGAGGAAGAGGAGGGAAGGAGGAAGAGGAAGGAAGCAGGAAGAGGAAGGAAGGAAGGAGGAAGAGGAGGGATGAAGGAAGAGGAAGGAAGGAGGAAGAGGAAGAGGAAGGAAGAGGAAGGAGGAAGAGGAGGGAAGGAGGAAGAGGAAGGAAGGAGGAAGAGGAAGGAAGGAGGAAGAGGAAGGAAGGAGGAAGAGGAGGGAAGGAGAAAGAGGAAGGAAGGAGGAAGAGGAGGGAAGGAGGAAGAGGAAGGAAGGAGGAAGAGGAGGGAAGGAGGAAGAGGAGGGAAGGAGGAAGGAAGAGTCTGCTGCTGTAGCGTTTAAACACCAGAACCAGAGAAACTCTCTCAACTGGTCCAAACCAGGTTCAACTTTACAAGCTGGACCAAATTAATCCTCTAACATTTTCACTGGGAGCCAGAACTGGGCCTGGTACCAGAACCAAACAGAAAACCTTCAGCTTCCAATAAATAAACCAGTTCAGATCTTTGTGGTCAGAGTTTACTGAGTCAGAACCAGGACCAGAACCAGAGCCAAACGAGTCCAAACCTCCCTTCAGTAGGTCTCCAGAATCTACACTCTTAATGCTAATCAGAACCACCAACTGGTCCAACGGGTCAGAATGGGAAGAACGATAATGATTATCAGTGTTTAAGAGACCAACCCAGTACTGATGGACCGACCGCAGGACCGACCCGGCAGCACCGACCCGGCAGACCGACCCGGCAGGACCGACCCGGCAGGACCGACCCGGCAGCACCGACCGGCAGGACCGACCCGGCAGGACCGACCCGGCAGCACCGACCCGGTAGGGGAACCAGAGCGAAGCTGCTTTGCTACATTTCTCAGTTCATCAGATTAAAAACCCACTGAGTGGAAAATAAAACGATGTTTCTGACCGCTGGCTGTGTGTGTGTGTGTGTGTGTGTGTGTGTGTGTGTGTGTGTGTGTGTGTGTGTGTGTGTGTGTGTGTGTGTGTGTGAGCATATGGAGGTAATGATGTCCTGCGTCACAAACAGATAGAGTTACTCACACACAGATGCTAGCAATCATAGCTTCATGTATAAACAGAGGATGTGAGGGCGGGGCCTGTTGCCATGGAGACTCACTTCCATCATCATTATCAAACCATTTTCAGATTTTTGAGGAGATCCTGAGCTGCAGCAGGATCCTGAGCTGCAGCAGGATCCTGAGCTGCGGATCCTGAGCTGCAGCAGGATCCTGAGCTGCAGCAGGATCCTGAGCTGCAGCAGGATCCTGAGCTGCAGCAGGATCCTGAGCTGCAGCAGGATCCTGAGCTGCAGCAGGATCCTGAGCTGCAGCTCAGGATCCTGAGCTGCAGCAGGATCCTGAGCTGCAGCAGGATCCTGAGCTGCAGCAGGATCCTGAGCTGCAGCAGGATCCTGAGCTGCAGCAGGATCCTGAGCTGATCCTGAGCTGCTGCAGGATCCTGAGCTGCAGCAGGATCCTGAGCTGATCCTGAGCTGCAGCAGGATCCTGAGCTGCAGCAGGATCCTGAGCTGCAGCAGGATCCTGAGCTGCAGCAGGATCAGCTGTCGGCCACAACTCCAAAACTTCCACATTTCCGATGTTTCAATATTTCAGTCAAAAAATCAATAAAAACTTATTATTCAACTTTTTTCTCCTCCAACCCTTTAAATATTAAAAAATACTCAATCAAAAGTTGCGGTCTGAATGTTTTTTAAATGATGGGTTAGAGCTTGTCGCTGATTGGCTGGTTGCTGCTTCTTTTCCTGCATTTTTATTGGTCCAGCACAGGAAGTTAATTTCTTGATATTCTGGGATGTTTTCTGACGTGTCTCGGTGATTTAATTAGCAGATGGATCATTTTATTCTGTCTCCAGGTTCTCCATTCTGTTGTCACGGAAAGTTGTATAAAATCTACAGATTTGCGCAATAGCATAACTTTGACATCACGCAAATCTTTCTCGAAAATGTTGAAGTGATGCTAACTCCCACCAGCAGGTGGCAGTATGTCTGACTTCTGCCAGTGTAAGGTTATAGTCAGATGGGATTGTGCTGTTAAAATTCTTTGAAGATCTTCCTGAGTTTGATGTGAGGAAAAGTTTGATGCAGATATTTGTAATGTAGAGCTGCAGAGTGAATCCAGAACTAGAAGAGAAAGATGAAAATAAATCCTGAGACTAGAATAATAAAACATGCAGGATGTAAATGGATATTTATGCAGAAAAAGCAAAAGACCGACAATTAAATGAGCAAACTTCCTGCGGCTACAGCGCCACCTACTGGTGATGAAGGTTAATGATGTCACACTGTATCTTTAAAGTTATAAACATGTTTTAGACTGTAAAATATGCAAAGGTCATTTCAGCATTCGCTGTTTCAGAACGCTGCCGGATCAACCTGCTGGTTCTGGTTCTGGTTCTGGTTCTGGTTCTGCTCTGCATCCAGAACCAAACATGGAGAAGCAGCATTCTGGACGAAATGTTTGTTTCATAATTGATGACTGTTGATGTTTTTATGATGTAAAGCCTTTGATCTGCCTGGTTCTGAAATGTTCTGACAAATAAACGAAAATAAATATAAACCATTCTGGAGCAGAAGAAGGCTGAGCAGCCCAACATGTTCAGACATGTTCTTTGAGAGACATGTCCCTCTAATGTCCCTCTATTGTCCCTCTAATGTCCCTCTATTGTCCATCTATTGTCCCTCTATTGTCCCTCTATTGTCCCTCTATTGTCCGTCTAATGTTGCTGCCATGTTTGTCCATCTGGCAGCTGTAGCTCTCCTGTTTAATTTGATGCTTAAATCCATTGATCAGTTTGACTTGCAATAAGTCAAACTGATCAGGTGGAGAGTGTGTGTATGTGTGTGTGTGTGGGTGTGTGTATGGTGTGTGTGTGTGTGTGGTGTGTGTGTGTGTGTGTGTGTGTGTATGGTGTGTGTGTGTGTATGGTGTGTGTGTGTGTGTGTGTATGGGTGTGTGTGTGTGTGTATGGTGTGTGTGTGTGTGTGTGTGGTGTGTGTGTGTGTGTGTGTGTATGGTGTGTGTGTGTGGTGTGTGTGTGTGTGTGTGTGTATGGTGTGTGTGTGTGTGTGTATGGTGTGTGTGTGTGTGGTGTGTGTGTGTGTGTGTGTGTGTGTGTATGGTGTGTGTGTGTGTGTGGGTGTGGGGTGTGTGTGTGTGGTGTGATGGTGTGTGTGTATGGTGGTGTGTGTGTATGGGTGTGTGTGTATGGTGTGTATGGTGTGTGTGTGTGTATGGTGTGTGTGTGTATGGTGTGTGTGTGTGTGTGTGGTGGTGTGTGTGTGTGTGTGTGTGTGTGGTGTGTGTGTGTGTATGGTGTGTGTCTGTGTGTGTGTATGGTGTGTGTGTGTGTATGGTGGTGTGTGTGTGTGTGTATGGTGTGTGTGTGGTGTGTGCGAGTGGTGTGTGTGTGTGGTGTGTATGGTGTGTGTGTGTGTGTGTGTGTGGTGTGTGGAGGGGTGGTGTGTGTGTATGGTGTGTGGTGGTGTGTGGTGTGTGTGTGTATGGTGTGTGTGTGTGCGTCCCTGGGTGTGTGTATGGTGTGTGTGTGTGTGTATGGAGTGTGTGTGTGGTGTGTGTGTGTGTATGTGTGTGTGTGGTGTGTGTGTGTATGGTGTGTGTGTGTGTATGGTGTGTGTGTGTGTGTGTATGGTGTGTATGGTGTGTGTGGTGTGGTATGGTGTGTGTGGTGTGTGTGTGTATGGTGTGTGTGTGTATGGTGTGTGTGTGGTGTGTATGGTGTGTGTGTGGTGTGTATGGTGTGTGTGTGGTGTGTGTGTGGTGTGTGTGTGGCCTGGTAGAATCCACAGAATCTTGATAGGAGCCATTACTTCCTGGAGGCGTGGCCTCTGCTGAATATTAGCCAATCGCTAACGATGACGGTGCTACAATGAAGCTAACGGTCCTGCAGAGCTGCTGTCCTCTGAGACTCCGGAGCGTCTCCTGAACAGACTGACCAGGCTTTCTGCAGGAACTGCTCCTGAGACAATGTGGGTCATGCTGGACGGTAGACAGAAAGAAGACGGTTCTGTGGAGGTGGTCTTCCTTCAGCCTGTTCCAGCTCATCCCTGGAGTGTTCGTGCAATCTGGACTTTGACTAGGCCTCTGACTCTCCATTAATCCGCTTGCAATGGGTCAGGTCCAGTTCTGCTGGTGCTTCCTTTCTACAGACTCAGTTGTGTCGCCGCTGTCTGAGAGGCTAGCTGTGCTAATGCTACAGTTCTAATTCGCTGAGCTAATTTTAGCAATTTGCTAACTTTGGGAAAATTTGGCACTCTTAAATGTTAAACTTTGACATCTGACGTTTTGTTCCTTCACTGTTAAGAATTCTTATTTACATGCTTTTATTTTGGAGTCTGTTAAGTCCTGTCTTCGACTTCCTGTCGAGTTGACAGTCCTTCATTTGGACCAGAACCTTCAGATCAGTTCTTAAAACCTAAACAAACAAACAGGAAGTGGCTCCTGAGTTTAACTTCCTCCCTCATCCAGACCCAATTATCCCGACCAGAACCAGAACCAGGACCGACCTGTCTGTATGTTTACAGGTAAAACACAACGGGCTGATCCAGGAGATGGAGCATCCGACAGCAGGACGCATCGCCGTGCCGGGTCAGCACACACACACACACACACACACACACACACACACACACACACACACACACACTGAAGCCAGAGGTGTTTGGGTCATGTGACCTCTGGTTCTGTTGATGTTCTGTTGTTACACCAGCTTACTGGTCGTGGTTCTGGTCGTGGTTCTGGTCCGTATTCCTCTTTCCGTCTGGAACTCTAAATCACGACAGAACATTTTTCCAGGAATCGTCCTGATGGTGTTGGGCTCTCGGAACCAGACTCTCCACTGGGAACGCTGGCATTGCCCCCCTGACCGGGTTGGACCCGACTTGGCCCGACCCGACCCGACTGCAGATCCATAAACAGATATTGTGAGTGGAACCCCAGGGTGCAGCTCTGGCGGTCTGCTGGGAAGCCGGTTTGATGGATCTCTGCGAGTTTCCTCTCAGGAAGCGGTTTGTCTTCCGCTCACGATTTACGGTCCGATCCGTCTCCGGACCCGACTCGGTCCCGACCCGGCTCTGACCCCAGGCTCACCTTCATGCCTCAGCTTCCCCTGGTTTGGACCAGTCCATCATTCCCTGCAATGATGGACTGTTCAGTCCCCAGACCCGGTTCTGATCCGATTCTGTTCAGGTTCTGACCCGTTCAGTCGTCGTCTGCTGTGTGAAAATCGCTCAGAGGATAAAATGTTTCCTCACAGTTCAGAAATCGAAGCATCAATAGAAACCAGCATGGTCCAAACATGGCGGAGACGTTCCTTTGTTCTGGTTCTGGTCGGGTTTGCAAGAAGAACCGGACTGGTTCCACTTCACCGGACCTCAGAAGTCTGAGCTTTATCATCTGGAGCCGTTAGCTGGTCAGGGTGATCTATCTGTTATAGATCTGGTTTAGTGTCTGATTTAAACTTTTATCAACTGATTGATAAAATTTGAATAAAGTTAACATCAGGCTAATGCAACGCATTAGCATTAGCTTAGCTCATGCTACATAACAGGTTAGCAGCGCCTTAGCTTAGCTCATGCTACATAACAGGTTAGCATTGGAATAAAAGTCTGGAGCCTTCGTCAACTTTACTCTTCTTCCTCCATCTTGGATCAGAACCAGAAACAAGACAGAAATGTGATGAATAAAAGGATTATGTAACATTATTCATTAATTATTCACCCTGACACAATGACACACACACACACACACAGAGAGACACACACACAGACACACACAGATACTAACATGCAGACTGTGTGATGTTCACGTTGAGGCTTGTCGAGAGGATAATAAGTTAGTTATGTGCTGAAAACACTCGGCACGTGAAACTCCCCCGAGCCCCCCAACAGTCTCACACACACACACACACACACACACACACACACCCGGCCCGCTGGTCTGTGAGATCTGGCCTCATTAGCGCTGATCTTTAAAAGCAGCTGATTGTCTGAGTGTCCAGAAATAAACAGCTTGTTCTCTGCTGCAGATCCTCATTTATTTCTGACTGGAAGCTTCATGTGTTCATTACTGGACCAGTTCAGTTTGTAATGTTTCATCCAGTGCAGGAAAAGTTTCAAACATTTTACCCTGAACTGAATCTTTGCTTCGATTCGATTCAAAATCCAGTTTAGGATCAATTATCCTGATGATTTGTGAGTTTTTTCTCCTCCAGTCTGAGTGATGAGTGGAGACCAGCCGGCCGCGTTATGAATGAGACTCCAGCCGCACCAAACAGTTCAACGAGCTGATTCTCTTTCAATGTTTATTACTAGTATTTTTTGTAAGATGTGCAGCAGCCTGGTTCATATTTGATGAAAATGCAGAACATTCAGCATTTACCTTCAGTTTGCATTGATTAAAGGGAGGCTCTGTGTGTGTGTCTCTGTGTGTGTGTCTCTGTGTGTGTGTCTCTGTGTGTGTGTTGTGTGTCTCTCTGTGTGTGTGTGTGTGTGTCTCTGTGTGTGTGTGTGTGTGTGTCTCTGTGTGTGTGTGTGTGTGTGTGTGTGTGTGTGTGTGTGTGTGTCTGTGTGCGTGTGTGTGTGTGTGTGTGTGTCTCTGTGTGTGTGTGTGTGTCTGTGTGCGTGTGTGTGTGTGTCTCTCTGTGTGTGTGTGTGTGTCTGTGTGTGTGTGTGTGTGTGTCGGGGTGTGTGTGTGTCTCTGTGTGTGTGTGTGTGTCTCTGTGTGTGTGTGTGTGTGTGTCTCTGTGTGTGTGTGTGTGTGTGTGTGTGTGTGTGTGTGTGTGTGTGTCTGTGTGCGTGTGTGTGTGTGTGTGTGTGTGTCTCTGTGTGTGTGTGTGTGTGTGTCTGTGTGCGTGTGTGTGTGTGTCTCTCTGTGTGTGTGTGTGTGTGTCTGTGTGTGTGTGTGTGTGTGTGTGTGTCGGGGTGTGTGTGTGTCTCTGTGTGTGTGTGTGTTCAGGTCCAGCTGTGCGGTTCAGCAGCTTCCCCCTCAGCGGGCCGACGCCCCCTCCTCTGATTGGTCAGCACACGGTCCAGGTGCTCAGGGACACCTTGTCCTACAGTGATGATGTCATCAAGGAGCTGCTGGAGTCCAGGGCGGTGGCTCAGAATGAAGTGTCGTGATTGGCTGAAGAAAGAAAAGCTGCCAATCAGTCTTAGAACCATAATGATGTAATCATGATGTCATAGACAGTTTAAAGTGTAACCAACCCTGGTAAATCTGAGCCCCGCCCCCAACAAGTGTTAAGATGTCAAAGTGGGTGGAGCCGATGTGCACTGAGGGGCGTGGTCAGGGGGGTCTGAGAGAAGAAACGCTGCTAACCCTTTGGGTTAGCAGCGTTTAGCTTTAAATTAGCTCATGCTACAAAGCATGAGCTAACCTTTGTAGTGATAATGAACTTTATCATTACATTCATGCACAATCCTGTTTTTGGACTTTAATTGACCAGCGATCCGCAGCTGTTCCTCATCATGAGGAAGTGACTATGGTAGCGGTAAACCCCGCCCACAGATCATTGATTCACACTAAGCCCCGCCCACAGACCTTTGATTCACACTAAGCCCCGCCCACATACCTTTGATTCACACTAAGCCCCGCCACAGATCATTGATTCACACTAAGCCCCGCCCACAGACCTTTGATTCACACTAAGCCCCGCCCACAGAACTTTGATTCACGCTAAGCCCGCCCACAGACCTTTGATTCACACTAAGTCCCGCCCACATACCTTTGATTCCAACTAAGCCCCGCCCACAGATTATTGATTCACACTAAGCCCCGCCCACAGACCTTTGATTCACACTAAGCCCCGCCCACAGATCATTGATTCACACTAAGCCCCGCCCACAGACCTTTGATTCACACTAAGTCCCGCCCACATACCTTTGATTCACACTAAGCCCCGCCCACAGACCTTTGATTCACACTAAGTCCCGCCCACATACCTTTGATTCCAACTAAGCCCCGCCCACAGATTATTGATTCACACTAAGCCCCGCCCACAGACCTTTGATTCACACTAAGCCCCGCCCACAGATTATTGATTCACACTAAGCCCCGCCCACAGACCTTTGATTCACACTAAGCCCCGCCCACAGATCATTGATTCACACTAAGCCCCGCCCACAGACCTTTGATTCACACTAAGTCCCGCCCACATACCTTTGATTCACACTAAGCCCCGCCCACAGATTATTGATTCACACTAAGCCCCGCCCACATACCTTTGATTCACACTAAGCCCCGCCCACAGACCTTTGATTCACACTAAGTCCCGCCCACATACCTTTGATTCACACTAAGCCCCGCCCACAGATTATTGATTCACACTAAGCCCCACCCACAGACCTTTGAGTCACACTAAGCCCCGCCCACATATTGTTGAGTCACACTAAGCCCCGCCCACATATCGTTGAGTCACACTAAGCCCCGCCCACATATCGTTGAGTCACACTAAGACCGGGTTCTACCTGTAGGGGGCAGCACCAAGACAGTTTGGGTGAAATTAACAAATATACAGAAAAATGTTAGAATCCAACAGAAACATGAAGATAAAACTCAAAATAACTTTGTGACAGGTTTATTTTATTGGTTAGTTACACTTTAATGAATCTGCTCCTTTACACTCCTTTAAAATGCTTTAAAACGTTGTGGAAGGAAAACCTCAGAAGCTCACACTCCATGATTGTAAACTGAATAAATTATTTTCATAAATCATGAAAATAAATCATTTTGTCTCCAGGGTGATTTCTGAGTCCATCAGAGACTTTATTCTGATATTTAAAATGTTTTCAGTGTTTATTAGAATTTAAATTTATTGATCTGTGACAATTTGTTCTTACATTATTATTAAGCAATCTGGAAGTGGCTGCTGCAGGGCAGTAGTCTTAACGGTGGCACTAATGTCACTGGGGGACATTATGGGGCAACAGGGGACACTGGGGGACATTATGGGGCAACAGGGGACACTGGGGGACATTATGGGGCAACAGGGGACATTATGGGGCAACAGGGGACACTGGGGGGACAGACAGGAAACTAACTGGACGCTTCCTCACAGGAAGCAGGAAGTGGTTCTCCATCTCTGTTTCTCTGCAGTGATGATCAGAACCTCCCTGTTCCAGCCGGCAATTCCGGTTCTGTTGGGTCTCCTTCAGAAGCGGTTCTGGTTCTGCAGCTGCTCCTTTCTTGGCTGCCTCTGCGCTGACCTCGGGCTGCGAGAGAGAAATCCGGATGTACGTAACCCGCCGGCTCCGGTTCCAACATCTGGAAGCCCAGCGCTGATGTCCGACCCAGACCCGGTTATACGAGTCCAGAACTCTGTCTGGGGCTGAGCTCACCGCAGGAAATGAACCACCAGCCCAGTTTACACCAAGACTTCAGGAGGAGAGAAACTGCTGCTGGGTTCTGGACCAGAACCTGGACCTGGACCAGAACCTGGACCTGGACCAGAACCTGGACCTGGACCAGAACCTGGATCCTCTCTGTTGGCTGGAACCAGAATCATTTCTTGTTCTGGTCGTGATGACAGACGATGTGACCTGCAGGGACAGCTGAGGAAAACCGAGCCGCCGGTTCTGATCACTATTTAAACACACACACACACACACACACACACACACACACACAGACAACGCAGAGGGATGAGAGCCTCACACTTCACTTCCTGCAGACATGAACTTTGACATTGAAGCTGAACAGAACCAGGCAGCTCCAGAATCTGGTTCTGGTCCAGCTGGAAGTCCAGCTGCAGTGTGATGGAAACACACACACACACACACAGTGCAGGCTTCCCCCGGGTTTCCTCAGGGAGTGTGTGAGGAAACCTCTTCCTGCTGCGGCCCGGATGCCGGTTCTGCTGCAGCTGTGATCCTCATCAGGGCAGCAGAAGCTGCAGCAGCCAATCAGAGCGCGGCTCTCTTTTTGGCAGGATGTGTACGGCCCGTTGCCATGGCAGCAGCTTCTCCTGTTGTGTCAGCAGACTCTGTCCTGATTGGTTGGTCCTGCAGTGGAGGCGGTCCAGCCCGGTGAACAGAACCTCCTGGTTCTGAGGGCAAGGCTGTTCCTGTGGAGGCGCTCAGGTCTGAGACGGGTCCAGGGAGGAAAGCTTCCCGGTTCTGTGGCATGAGGACTGTCTGGTTCAGTCCACAGGTCCATCAGGTTCTGGGTCAGAACCGGAGAGATCTGGGCTTCCTGACAAAACCAGGATGGAGCTGCAGGTTCTGCAGAACTTCATGAAGCCGAATGCTGCAGGGAGGTTCTGTTTGGTCCAGTTTGGACCAGCTGAATGAAGAGATGGAACCGGGTCGCATGAGCAGAACTTTTAGTTTCCGCCTGAGGAGAAAAAAAACAAATCATGAGACAATCCTCAGAACACTTAGCTGTCCGCTAACTTAGCGCCTTAGCATTAGCTTCCACATAGTAACATGGTGCTTTAGCATTAGCTTCCACCATGTTAATGAGGTGCTTTAGTAGAGCTATCTAACATGCTAGCGCAGATGGTTTCACAAACTGATTGAGATCATTGATTTGATTGGACAGAGGCCTCCTTCCCCTCCTTCCCACAATGATCTGCTGGTTCTGGTTCTGGAGCCGGTACCGGGTCGCTCCACTGCTGCTCTCAGCAGAACCGCCATATTGGTTCCTCTGATGTTTTCAGGGTCAGTTCACTCTCAGCCTCTTTGAGTCGGAGCAGCAGCCGTGACTCCCGCTCCAATTAGAATCCTGGGCTCTTTACATTCTGGACCCCCAGAACCCGTCCAACACCCCCAGAACCCCCTCCCGTCCCGCTGCGGCCCCCCTGAGCGCCCCGGGGCCCCCCGGAGCCCCTGGCCCCGTTCTGAACTCTGACAGCCAGGATCCGGATCAGAAGCGGCGCTGCCGGGGAACAATGCAGAGCCTGTGACCGACCTCTGCGCTCCGGGCGGCGGAGTCCGAACCGCTCGGCCCGGTCACGTTTCAGCCCGTCCTCCTGGTTCCGATGGGACGGACCGGGACAAACGACCTCTGGACTCACTGCTACAGGCTGAGGATCCAGAACCGCTGCTGGTCCATCAGTGAGACATGAGGACAGTTTAACATTCAGAGACATCAATAAACTTTCATCACGTTTCAAAGCAGATCATTTTAAAAAGGAAACAAAAAACACTTTTAACTCTCTGATAAAAACCGGAAGATCATGTGACCTTTGACCCCTGGGGGAATCGCTCAGTAATGGCTGCTCTGAAAAAATATTTCATGAACTGAACTGGAACAATGGAAAAATGGGCTGAGCATAAAGCTAACAGCTAAGCTAACTGTGGTTGTTTGCGAGCTTAAAGCAACCAGGTGAGATTTATTTATTTAATCACTACAAAATATCTCCTATTGATCACTTATCGCCTAAAATCAATAAAAACAGCAAACCTGCATGTTTATCTTCAGCTGTTCTGACTGAACCGGATGTAAAGGTTCTGGTTCCGCCGGCAGATTATTTTATCCATAACAGATTATTGTCTTGCTAAAGATGCTAAAGCTACTGTTCTGAAGCTGGTTCTGAAGATGCTGGTCCAAAGTGGAGCGGATCTGAACCCAGGACCAGGTAGGAGGATCTCAGACTGGATCCATTTTTCTGATCCGGTTCAGATATTGATCGGTGGGAATCTGGTCTCCCAGCAGCAGCAGTTCATTCTCCCAGTTTGACCCAGTTTATCACCAGAACCTCCAGCTGGTGCCTCTGGTTCTGACAGCCAGAGAACATGCCGTCCTCCAGAACCGGGCCACATAGAGCAGCTGACTGAGGGAGGTCAGTGGGGGTCATACCGGGTCACCCCCCTTCCCCCCCCCACTGTGGACCAAATCGGGTCAGTAGGAACCAGAACTCTGATTAACACACACGACCCGTTCTGTTGTCTCATCAGAACCGTCCAGAACCGCTTCACATCAATCGCCGATACAGAGAACTGCTGCAGGCAGAACCGGTTACACACATTGAGCGAGTGTGTGTGTGTGTGTGTGTGTGCGTGTGTGTGCGTGTGTGTGTGTGTATGTGTGTGTATGTATGTGTGTGTGTGTGTATGTATGCGTGTGTGTGTGTGTATGTGTGTGTGTATGTGTGTGTATGTGTGCGTGTGTGTGTGTATGTGTGTGTATGTGTGTGTGTGTGTATGCGTGTGTGTGTGTGTGTGTGTGTATGTGTGTGTGTGTATGTGTGTGTATGTATGCGTGTGTGTGTGTATGCGTGTGTATGTGTGTGTGTGTATGTGTGTGTATGTGTGCGTGTGTGTGTGTATGTGTGTGTGTGTATGCGTGTGTGTGTATGCGTGTGTATGTGTGTGTGTGTGTGTGTATGTGTGTGTATGTGTGTGTGTGTATGTGTGTGTATGTATGCGTGTGTGTATGCGTGTGTGTTGTGTGTGTGTGTGTATGTGTGTGTGCGTGTGTGTGTGTGTATGTATGCGTGTGTGTATGTATGCGTGTGTGTATGTATGCGTGTGTGTGTGTATGCGTGTGTATGTGTGTGTATGTGTGTGTATGTGTGTGTATGTGTGTGTATGTGTGTGTATGTATGCGTGTGTATGTGTGTGTGTGTGTATGTGTGTGTGTGTGTGTATGCGTGTGTGTGTGTGTGTGTGTGTGTGTGTGATGGTCTGGGTTTTATTCTCTCCTTGGATCTTCCTCTCTGACTCGGTTTCGTCCTGCTGCTGTGCCCAGAAGCAAGGCGCTGAGCTGCTGACCTTTGACCTCTTGGTGGGTTTGGGGGATTTGTGGAGGTTTTACAGCTCGGCTACAGACGGTCGGCGGGTTTGGCTGCTCCTCCAGAGCATCAGAACCTCTGACAGATCCGTTTGTTCTGGACTCAGCAGAACCTGAAGCTGGGCTCATTTTGCTCTGAGTTTGGTCTGACAGGAGTCACAGCTGCTGCAGATCAAACATCACAGCCTCCTTTGTCTCTCCATCCTCCGAGGCCTCAGTCACATAAAGGTAAGGGTTCAGAACCAGAAAGGTCCACAAAAGTTCTGCTCAAGTATTTGGTTTGTCTGAGAAATCTGCATGGACCCGAAACCAGAAAACAATAAGATCCAGGAGGCCCTGAAGGCAGCATGTGCTGCTACGACGCACTACCACTACCGACCCGGCCTGGGCCCGATGGTAACACTGACCCGGACCTGCATCCACTGGTACCCCCGGGGCCCAGCTGATAGACCCAAATGGTTCTGTTTTTATTCCTGATCAGTTCATATCTGAGACTCAAAGTTTAAGTTTATGCTCACAAACAGCTGCAGTCGCCTCACGGTCTGGCTGTCGACTGCTACTGCTTCTGAACATCCTGCTTCTGAACATCCTGCTTCTGAACATCCTGGTTCTGAACTTCCTGGTTCTGAACTTCCTGGTTCTGAACTTCCTGGTTCTGAACATCCTGGTTCTGAACTTCCTGGTTCTGAACTTCCTGGTTCTGAACTTCCTGGTTCTGAACATCCTGGTTCTGAACATCCTGGTTCTGAACTTCCTGGTTCTGAACTTCCTGGTTCTGAACATCCTGGTTCTGAACTTCCTGGTTCTGAATATCCTGGTTCTGAACTTTCTGGTTCTGAACTTCCTGGTTCTGGACTTCCTGGTTCTGAACTTCCTGGTTCTGAACTTCCTGGTTCTGGACTTCCTGGTTCTGAACTTCCAGGTTCTGAACTTCCTGGTTCTGGACTTCCTGGTTCTGAACTTCCTGGTTCTGAACTTCCTGGTTCTGAATAT